AATTGGTGAATTCCCTGTTTTGATTTCCTAAAAGAAAAATATTATGCAAGTTCCTCTTTGAAACAGCAAGACCTACAGATTGGTCTGTGTAAGCCAGATATGTTATGATTCTTTTTCTAATAAGCCCATACACAGAAAATCAGTTCCTCGGTTCATTCTTGAGAACCACTGAGTGTTTTGTGATTGAAATTAGGATATCTCTGCATCCATCTAAGTGGTAATGAAATACTAACGGAGTAATCTGAGATTTTTTTCATCATGTATGATAATAAGGAGAATCTGATTAAAATATTTGGCATCTTGGTGTCTGCTTTGGAAAGTGATATGTAAGCACGTGTCAGAAATCTTAATAATGTTCTCTAAAACATTGGATAGCTCACTGTTTTAAAGTAGTGAGTGAAAATGCTAGATAAGCTTTCTGGAAGGTTAAAATGTCAAATAATATTGGCAGTTAACCCTACTCTTATTGACTGGGATATTGACTGTATATATTCAGGGAGATGCATGTATCTGTATATATATGTGGCCAGTTTGCTACAGTGCAGATCCATATTCTTTCATGGAGCTTCTCATGTGTGAGGAGATCTGAGTAATATACTTTTTCATTTTTTGTAAAATATGAGAAAAGGAGTAAGTGAGCCCTTGAAGCTCAGAATTTTGAAGTTGGTGATGTGACAACAAGTTCTGAGCCGTGTTTCTTACCAGGCTTCTGTCATGTGTCAGTAACCCATTCAAAATGGCTGCGTGTTTGACTGTAATACATGTTTTCTACTTGTACCTGCTCCGGTTATTGATAGAAACAAGCATCTACAATTCTTAATGCTGCAGGGTCAAGACTGCTGTGAAAAAGGGGAATGCATGCTTTCATGCTCATGCCTCATCAATAACACCGCAAGCTAAGGTACAATTCTTGACCATAAATGTACTTTGGTGATGGGTTATGGACAGAAAAGTTGTTGTTAATCCCTAGGTAAAGGTCTTCTGTCAGTTACAGAAATGATCTATCTGATAATTTCAGAAACTATTTGGCAAAGTTTTGAGGAGGAAAAATTGTGAATGTTTTAATAATCCTTGAAGAAAAAGCTCTGAAATTTATGAAATGCAGTTTTGGAGCAAATTTGAAGAAGTTAGAACTTTGAAGGTTTAGAAATGTGTTTTTAAAGTCAAGGAAAATTTAGGATACGTTAAAAGGATTGCAAGTTGAGAAATTGAAAATATCAATCTTTATACTTAATTTAATCTGAGATTTCGAGCGGCTTGACTGTTGAAGTGCGTGAAACTGAGATTGTATGGGTAATTTAAATCAATATTTTAAAACCCTTAATGCATTTTATTTCTCACAAAACTTAAACTTGACTGTGAACCCCTTAAGGTCATTTATTTTAGGAAAAAGATGTACTTTTTGCAGTATTTTTTCCCTTAAGTGTTTTTAATATATAGGTGATATAGCTTCTAGGCTTTGTTTCCAATTTTAAATGTTCATTTAGCAGTTTCTTTTAAGCTTTAAATAGAACATTAGTGAACAAAGTGTGGTACTGATAATGAATTTGAGTATTTCCGTATTGATTATGAATCTCTTTTAATTTCATGTTTTTATATCAGATGAAGCTGTGTACTTCTGGCTGTTTTGTGCTAGAATAGTGTGAATACAAAGAAGCTGGAATATCTCAGGTATGCAGAGGTTTGAAGCCTGTGCAAGTTACCAGTGCAGACCAGCTGTTGCACAGCTGTGAATCTTGCCCCCAGATTTTCGGTGTGTGGCCCAGAACTCACACAGCTGGGATGAGTTGAAGTCCAGCATGAATTTCGTTCACATATTGACAGGGATCTTTACATCATTGATCTTGGGAGCATAAGAATTGCCACACACGCAGCAGCCAGTGTGCCAGGTGATGTCAGTGATGTGATGCCCATGCTTTTGTAAGGTGCCAGTGCTACTGAGCTGTCGGACTATTACCAGTAGTCACAACTAATAAGACTAATATTTCTTAAAGTGAAAATGCTTTTTTCCCTGTGACTTACAACTTCATATGTGAAAATTTGGAATGTTCCATCATTGTATTTAAAAATGTATTGATTGTTTTGAATCTCAGGAGGGTGGTAGTCTGGATCACTATATCTTTATCCGTCATGCACAGCCAAAGGATTTTGAATTTTACCAGGCACAAACAACTGTAATCTTTATAATCAGTTTGTGTGGGTGTCAACATTCAGCTCTCCAATGAAATTTGCCATAAAAGAAATGAGAAATTGGATGAGATAGGAATTAAACCAGAAAGTGAGCAGTATAAATGATTTAGTGGTAATCTAATGTGTAGCTGACTGGCTACTATCCAAATAGTTCTTAGGATTGTTTATTTTCTTCTGGGAAAGAATGTTATTGAATATTAGATGACTACTTCCCTGAAAGAAAATGCCATAAGCTTCATGTCTAGGCATTTTTTTCTGCTATCAGCTTATATCTTGTATGGCACAATTGTTTCTTATATCATGCATGTGGATGATAATATTAAAACTAAAAATAGCAGATTGCAGCAACAAAATGCTGGACATGTGTAAGCCAGCAGGAGTTCTGCAATTGACATTACTAGAGCCAGAATTTTACCCTAGGTTATTATATACTAGATTAGATTTTCAGTGTTTAACTTTTGGTCATCATCCATAGTACAATCATTAGTCAACAGAATGCAAAAGGGATGCTTTGACTTAAGGGGGAAAAAAGGCAGATGATTTAAGTGTTCATATAGACTCAGACTATCTGGAGTCAGAAAGTTTAGTCTTTAAGGAAAGTGTGCTGGAAGACTTTGAAATTATATTAAATATCTAAAGTATTCTGAGTCACAAGGTTGTTGATATCAGTGAGAGAAGGTAGATTACTGGAATGGTAGGAGATAAAAACTAGAAAATCCCATTGTTATTACTCTTACAAATTATTTTCATTTTCCATCCTTTGAGATTGGATTTTTAACATCAAATAACAATCAGAGGAGAGTCAGTGGAACTTCTGGGAGAGTAAACCCTCATGGGTTTCAGTGAAGATGATGGCCTCTGCTTTTTAGTGTATTTTATTTTATACAGTTATTATTCAAATTCTATTTTACTCAGCTAAATAACATTTAGAATATTCACGTGAACCATCTTCCTTCATTTACAACTGGGAGCATTCAGAGATGTTTAAAAGGTCATCTTTTCTCCTGTGTTCCACACTGCCACCAAATTCTGATATTTAAAAAGCTGTTGCTGGGTTTTATTTGGTTTGGGGGTTTTCTGGTTGCTTGTATTTACAATCTTAAAAAAAAAAAAAAAAAGTTTTGCTCTACTATTGTGAATCTTATTGCAACTTTTTAAATTTTTTTTATTGACAATCGGAACTCTCATCACTGTTACAACCTTTTACACTTCTGAAGTAACCGGCCAAGTATTGTGAGACTCAGCATGAAATTATGAGCTGTCAAGACTGGCAGTTGGCAGTTTCAGGGTGCCTGAATTTGTTACTGCCAATCCTCAATTTTCTATTCTAAGACTGTGATTCACAGAAGTAATAACTCTCTAAGCATAGCCAGTCTGATTTTCATCTCACCTGTGTGAGACTGCTGTGTCCTGGGGTTGGGCTGTGAACCAGTACACCACTAAAATTTCACTTCGGACTGGTTTTAGTTGGAATTCTGCATGTCCCCTCGATGCTACCATGCACAATCTGTGGGCTGTGCCCTGCTGCTGCTTCATCATGGCAGTGACTCTGCCCCAGGCATGCCACCATCACTCAGTACTAACAGGACATTGGTGAATCATTCACCCCATTTGGGCTGAAAGCAGGGCACAGTTTGGAAGTATTCCCACCCATATTCTGTTATATATTGTTGCTGTATGACAGGTGACAGCAGAAAGGTAGTCTGACAGAATGGCATCTGATGTTGAAGTGCGTATGAAGCAATGGTGTGTCATTGAATTCCTCCATGTGGGAAAAAATGGTACCCCCTGATGTTCATCACTGCTTGTTGAATGCTTATGGAGACCAAACAATGAATGTGAGCACTATGAGATGGTTGGTGGTGTATTTCATTGGTGGCAACAGTGACAGTGGGTCACCTCCACTGGTGGAGATTGTTATGAACACAGCATGTAGGCTCTTTTCATGGCTGGTGAAAATGCATAGCTAATGGTGGTGACTGCGTTGAAAAAGAGTGTTTTGTGGCTGAGAATTTGCTCTATTAAATGGTGTTATTGCGTTTTTTGTATCAGTTGTGGTTTCCATGAAAATCATAGAATGGCCTGGGTTGAAAAGACCACACAATGCTCATGTAGTTTCAACCCCCTGCTATGTGCAGGGTCACCAACTGCCAGACCAGGCTGCCCAGAGCCACATCCAGCCTGGCTTTGAATGCCTCCGGGGATGGAGCATCCACAAAAATGATTAGGAGGCATTACTTTTGGAGTAACCTTCATAGATGCAGTCCTAGCTGATACCTCTTCAGTTAATGCAGCTCAGGCAAGCCAGAAGTTTAGACACCGATGCCATCGGATATTTGCAGAGCTCTTGGGCGGAGCTGCTGTGGTGGCCATTGTTCATAGCTCTGTGAAGAGTTTATGTGATGATGCTGTACACGTCCAGTGTTTACTTATTTTGGCAAAGGTGAAAATTCATTGCTGCTGTGGTAAATGTTTGTCATTTGTATCAGTAAGTTCTGATTTTTTCCATAGTGCCAGTATTTGTTTTTTTTGTAGCTGTCAATGCTCACAGTCCAGTGAGATCTTGAAAGTGGAATTACAGGTGTGTACTTATGCCTTTGTATTGGAATAATAGTACTATTCTCTGTGTGCCTAAAGTCATAACTGCATGTGCTTCCATGTCCTGCATGTGTTACAAAACGAGGAATTGTGCTTGCTTTAGGTTTTTGAATAATTAATGGCTATTTGGAAATTATCAGTATCTGCAGGTTTTAAAAATATGACAAGAGTTGTTTAAGACGTGAGTTTGGTGTGGTGATTTTGTTTTTTAGGTGGTGTTGCTTTAGCTCAAGTATTATTTTTCTACGTGAAGTACCTCGTTCTGTACGGTATTGCTGCCCTTCTTCTCCGGATGGATGGACTCAGACCTCCAGCTCTTCCTCGCTGCGTGAGCCTGATGCACAGTTTTACTAAAATGTGGAGGTTAGTCACTATTACTATTTAGAAATTTTCTTAGTGATTTATTACTGTCAATATGTAAGAACGTGTGTGTGTGTGTGCGCGCTTCCATGGCTGCAGATATCCTTTCTTGCACTTTTGCGTACTTTTTCTCTTCTTATGATTTATCTTTTTCATTTCTAACTGAACTTAATTTTGATGGTTACTTTAATCGCACTGCGAAGAAAGAGGAAAGCAACCCTTCTCTGTATGTATTCTTTTAATGGTTAGACTGGAACCACTTAGTGTCACTAGCATAGCACTTGCTTTTTCCAGGTGTCTATTAAATAAGACTTTTTCAGTCTTGATCCAAAACCCACGTTTCAGCTGGATTTTTATCCAGAGAAGGAAAAGAAATCCCAGTTAGTTATATTATGAGGGAAGTTCTGGATATAATATTTTAATATGTAGGGTCATGCGATAGAGAATCTTCAATACATTGAAAATAATATGAAGGAATGGTAATTCCTTATTTATGAAAATATGGATCTACTTTGTTTTTCAAGTGTTTCTGCATAATATTTCACAAAAAAAGCAAGCTTTAAATGTTAGTGTTGCTTTAAATCACTTTCACTGAGCAAAACTGAGGCCCTTAGTATAGGAAGAGCGTAGGGCTGTTGGAGTGGGTCCAGAGGGCTGGAGCACCTCTCCTATGATGGCAGAGTAAGGGAGCTGGGTTCGTTCAGCCTGAGAAGACTGTGGGAGAGACCTCATTGTGGCCTTCCTGTACTTGAGGGGAGCTTACAAGCAGGAGGGGACTGACTTTTTATGTGGTCTGATAGTGATAGGACAAGGGGAATGGCTTCCAACTGAAAGGGGAGGTTTGGATTAGCTGGTAGGAAGAAACTTTTTATTCAGAGGGTGGCACAGCTGCCCAGAGAAGCTGTGGTGCCCCATCTCTAGAGGCCAGATTGGATGGGGCCCTGGGCAGCCCTGTCCCTGGCAGGGGGGTGGAACTGGATGATCTTTTGGTCCTCTCCAACATAAGCCATTCTATGTTTTTTTCCCTGAAAAGTATCTCCCAGGTGAACTCTTCTTGGTGTTTAGGCTATGTGTAATAGTTGATGCACTTTCTTTCCTCCTCTTCTCTCTGTTCCCTCTCCCCCTACAAGTTCTTCCCATGCCCCAGACCTCCAGAAACATTGTTTGGCTTTTTAGTATGCACACTTCTCTCTTTCATTCTGTTAGCATAGAGCCTAGCACAATGGGGCTTGTCTGTTTTGGCGTCCAACTGGTTTGTGGTATGAACAAACATTTTTCATTTTAATCACGGTAACAGTGGGCCTGTTATTATCTGGGCTTTATTGGATGAAATTATCATTTTGTTTCCTGTTTGAAGCTAGTTGTTTGAAACTAGGAAAACTTTGTGGTTTGTAATGGTTTGAAACTGTTACTATTTTGTATTCAGATAAGAAATGCAGCTTAAATAGGATGGATAAAGTGGATGAGCTGTTGAAGAGTGACTTGTGACTGGTAAACTCCTAGGTTTAAATAGTCTTCCAGAAAGAGTTTGAACTGAACTTCTGACCTACAGAATTAATTTTAGAAATGTGTGTTTTTTACCGGCCAGTCTCCTGAGAGCTTTATCTCATGACCCTTACAAGCAGGGTTTCAAACAACAGTATTTTTTCACTACTCTCCTTGTTGTTACGTCCAGGATTCTGGGGCATTGCCTTAGAGGTGTCAAATGAAACTCATCTTCAGCAGAAATAATTACACTGCTTTGTCAGATAATTGTAACAGGCAATGCAAGAAGTATTCTGGTGCTTCAAAGATGGGTGTGTTGTATCACATCAAAAACATCTGCTGTTCTTTTATAAAATATTCATAAAATTTTTCTTAGAATAAAACTGAAAAGTATCAAAGTAGGTAAAGTTTAATTACTTATCTCTTTGCAGAAGGAAAAATGAACAGCTGATATTTCTCATTTGCTCAGAGTTTTTGTTCATATATGTAACAAACATTCACTACCAGAAATAATACAAACATTCTGCAGATGGGATTTGTTTGCTAGCTTTGTAGGTTGAAATGTACAGTTGATTTGATTTCTTACTTTCAAAGCTGTATAGGCAGTAGAATTTCCTGTGGCTGCTAGTGAATTATGGGTCATTCTTAGTTATCTAAAAAATTCTCACATAGCTTGCCCTACAAATCCCAGAATTATGATGCTGTTATGCCTTTGCAGTAAAACTCATGAATCTCTACTACACAGAGGCTAGCAGACTTTGTATGCTCTGTTATGCTGTATAGGAACATCATTGTTAGAAGTGGAAATAGCTTTTTTTTTTTTAATCTCTACTAGGTGGATGTCTGAAAAAGACTAATATAGACAAAGTACTGAAGTGATGAGATTTCCATAAAAGCTATGAAAAATTGATGATGAAAGAAAAGAGCTTGTTGTGAGGTCTCATGAGCAGCGAGCTGTTTCCTTGAAGTACTAAATACTGGTTGCTGAACTTTGGAGATTCGTAGTTTTTAAAATTAGTATTCCTAGACTAGCTCAAATATAAATGTTAATAACATCATGCCTAATTTTAAGTTTCTCTGTTATTAAAATGATAGCCTAGTATTGCTTGAGATTGTTAGAGCCAGACTGGGGAATGGGACAAGCCAGGCAACATAAGGGAGTGCACTGTCACCTGTTGACTAACATCTGCAGTACTGCTCAGAGGAAGCCCTTGTGGTTGCTTGACTTGCTGTTGTCCTTCTCAGTGACATCCACTGTCAGCAACTCTCAGGCTATTATAATAGGTCTTAGAAGACTCTGCATTGCTATTTTAATATCTTTAAGTTATAAACAGTGCATGTTACAAAGGAAACAAGGTAGCCTGAAAAGAAAGACAACATGAATGCCACAATGTAAGGAGGGCAAATATGCCACCGAACAGACTTCCACCACCTTGTGTCCTTGGAGCATGCCAACAAAAGACTTGGATGTGACAAATCCAGATCAGTGCAACTTAAAATCAGTACACGCTGTCGTTATTCACTATGGAATGCAGCAGGTAGAAGAGCTCTCAATGAGGAAGGAAGAAAAATGTCAGGCTTTGTTGTCTAAAATTTCTCTGGAGCAAAGCAGTTATTAAAAAAAAAAACAAATCAGGTGTTCTGCATCCTCCTTTATGACATTAAATGCTTAACTAAATTGTGTCCATTATTCCAAACTTAGAAATAAAGGGCTCTAATTAAAAAGAAATTCTGTTTTATAGTAGATTCCGAATAATCTATGTTTTCTTTAATCAAGACAATCTCCTGAATAAAAAGAAATAAATTAGTTATCTTTCTTGTTGCTTCATGGTTAATATAAATACTGAACGTGTTGCTATGGTTTCAGTTTATCAGTATACCATAATCTCAGCAAACATGCAGTTGCAGAGTTAAAAAAACAAAAAAAAGTATAACAAACTTACTACCATTCAAAAGTTTGACTATAGTTGTCAATTTTTAATGTCTGCTTTATCTTGTATAGGTCACAAATAAGAAAAATTTCTTGTTGTTAGCAGAGGTAAAAGCAAATTAGCGAAGCATGGGAAAGGAACTATTGCTAGAAGCTTATGAGTGCTTTTAAAGAATTGCTACGCAACTTCTCAGGCTGGGAATCAATAGTGTAGTGCAACTGGGGAAAGATGTGCTAGTTAGAGTATGGCTGAAAGTTGCAAATTGATTTAATGTGGAAAAATATCCTAGCGGGGAAGTTAAGATGTGGAAACTAGAGAAAAATAGTATCTAATAAGTCCCACGTTAAATCTCACTTACTGTTGAACAGTTTTGGCAAGGTGTTCCACAATGAAACTTGTTAGTTCATAGTTTACGATGGTGTTTGGCACAAATGCCATTCCTGGTGTGGGGGGGAAAGGAGGCTACCATTTCTGTGTTTCCATACTACGTTACTGAGTGCTGTAGGTGCTTTTCTCCAAAGATTTTGGACATTGATCTGATACGTTTTGACATGTCGTGGGAGTAGCATGGCATAAATATCTCATCTCAGGTTAGAGTCTGATACCAGGTTTGCAGAAACATGACTCCTCCTCTTCTCCTATGCCCATCCACCTTAAAATCTGCACGTTCCCAAGAGTCTTATCTGAAAGTAAGCACTACAAATGCTACGGTGGTCAGTGTCAAGAGGATCGGGTATTTTGATGTGATTTGCTTTGTATCTACCCTATAATTCCGGACAGCTATTATTTGAAAGCTCTCTGTTCCATAAAGGGACTAACCCAGCAGCTGGCACTGAGAGACAAGAAAAAGAAAGACAGGCTTATGCATATTTGCTTTTTCTCTGGAGGTTAGGGTTGTCATTCCTGGTCTATTTCCTTTGGTTTTGAAAGAAAATGTTATCCAGTGTGTTTCAGAGACAATCCAGTAAAACAAAAATGTGTATTTTAATCTTTTAACTTCTCCCAAGCTTTCTTTAAAAAATATATATATATATATGCTAATGTCATGCCTTTTGACTTTTAAGCAGAAATGCCATCTTTTCCTTATTCTATATTTTCAGAGGTGGTCTCTGAAACATGGAAGAGTCATTGGATGGTTTGAGTTGGAATGGACTTTAAGATAACCTAGTTCCAGCCCCCCTGCTTTAGAGACACCTCTCTCTAGACCAGGTTGCTCAAATTGTATTTAGCCTGGCCTTGAGTGCTTCCAGGGAGGGACATTCGCAACCTCGTGGCATAGCCTGTTCCAGTGTCTCACCATCCTCCCAGTAAATAATTTGTTCCTGATTGCTAGTCTAAATCTTCCCTCTTTCAGTTTAAAAGCATTTCCTTTGTCCTGTTGCTACCTGCTTTTGTAAAAAGTTCCTCACAAGCTTTCCTGTAGGCCCCTTTCAAGTACTGGAAGGCTACTATAAGGTTTTTTCGAGCCTTCTCTTCTCTATTCCTAAAAGCCTCATCTCTCTCAGCCTGTCCTCATAGGGGTGGTGCTTCAGCCCTCTGATCATCTTCATGAGCCCTCCTCTGGACCTGTTCCAACAACTCCATGTC